GTCTTTAATCCACTTCGAGTTGATTTTTGTGACTGGAGTGAGGCAATGATCTAGTTTCATTTTTTTGCATGTAGCTACCCAGTTTTCCCAGCAATAGTGGCTTAATTTTAAAAATAATTTAAATTTGTAGCTGATGTCAAAAGGGATACTCTATTATTTTTATGATTAAATTTTAACCAATACAAAGATAACAATGTCTTGATATTTGCTTGAATTCACACTCTTTTCAAGGGATTTTTTTTTTCTTGAGTAGCGTTAGATTTATAGAGAAATGAATGGAAAAACAGAGTTTGCATGTGTTGGCTTCATGTCTGCTCACCTGCATTCCCTGTTCATCATACTTTCATTGGTGTGGTACACTTGTTACAAATGATGAGTCAATAGTGATACAATACTAACTAATTTTTGTAGTTTACACTAAATGTCTCTCTTTGGGCTCTACATTGTGTGGGTTTTGACAAATATATGTTGACATATTTCTGTATATGGATACATTTCAATATCATATGGAATAGTTTTGTTGCCTTAAAAATCCCCTGTGGTATTTTTTTTTAATGTGTTTTATTTTCCAAAAGGGGGAAAGGCGTTTTTGTTTTTAGGAATTAAGGTTTAGTAGTATATTCCAGTTACCATATTAGCATAAAATATAACATATTTTGACTTCTTAAATTTTATAGTATCTGGCTTTTATAATTTTAAGCCTGGTTACATCATGCCATTTAATTACTATGGTAATTGAAAAAATATGGGGTAAATTAATAGGCGCTTATTAGTTTACAATTCCATTTAGCAACTAGTTAATACAAAAATCTCTGAGAATCAAATGGCAATTATAAAATAGCATGTCTTACTTTAGTCACTTTTCCATAATCAACATCTTAAAGATATGCTTTTGATGTTTCTAGAAGGTGTGAAAAGATATACTTTTGATGTTTCTAGAAGGGGTTAAAGGACATAAGTCAATTTTGTCTTAATATTCATTGTTGCTGTTTTTATACAGTAATAGTCCATTTTTAATGTTTCATTTCTACAATATGTAACCCTAAAAGGAATTTATTGTTATTGCTGTGCTTATTTCATCAGTTTGGCAGCACAATAAATACTTGTTGACTGGTTGACTGTAACTTAAATGGTATGAATGTCAAGAGATTGCAAATGATTGACCATTATGTGAATTCTGAGTTTTGTAGTTAAGAGTTAATTAAGCAAATACTGAAACAAATGCTAATTTTTAACCTGTTCCCCAAGTCAGCAACTGTGGGCTTATGATACAATTAAACTTCAGCAATCTTTTACTAGAAGGTCATACATTTGTTTGCCTTCTCTCTAGAGATAGAGGATCATTTTGAGTTGGGAAAACAAGTATAAAGTTTATGAAGA